CCATGGAAATAGGTAGCCCAGATTTCCTTCCTTGGGATTTTGGCCCCATACTTTTCTCAAGAGCCATTCAGTCTTTGACATATGTTCTAGGTGGTTGGGTTGTGTGCCATTGCTTGGCCTGTCTCTACCAGTAGTGAAGCATGAAAAGCAAACAGTCTTTGATATGAGAGGTAAGACTGTTGTTAGAACAGCAGCTATTGTGAAAGAGATTATGCCTTTCTTTTAAGCATATTTAAAAGTGTATGTTTATTTAATTTAATTTGTTTTTTGGTACTGGGGATTGAACTCAAGGGCACTCAACCATTGAGCCACATCCCCAGCCCTATTTTGTATTTTATTTTGAGACAGGGTCTCAGTGAGTTGTCTAGTGCTTTGCTTTTGCTGAGGCTGGCTTTGAATTCGCTATCCTCCTGTCTCAGCCTCCCAAGCTGCTGGGATTACAGGCGTGTACCACTGTGCCCTGCTCAAAAGAGCATGTTTATAAAATTTCATTCATGCAGACATTTATTCAACCAATAGTTATTAGGCTCCACATTATTCAATAATTTAGATTTATGGGTTCTGGAAGGATTACATGTGGTAACATTTAAGCGAAGAGTTTAAGATAAAGTCAAATTCAGCCAGATGCACACAAAGGGAATGCACATTCCAGATGGAAGGGAAAGAATGAAGACGTTGAGATGCAAAAGGTCAAGACAAGTAGAAGACTTCACTCACACAGCCAAGAGACAGAGTCCTCACAGCCAGCATTGGACTTGCTACCTTGCGTGGGCATCTTTCCGTTTCAGATGCAACATGTGATCCTTTATTCTGCACAAACACAATGCATCCTATGTGCACAACATATGACACCTAGTCAGTCTCATTGCTCTATCTGCTCCTTGTGGGGAGTGGACAAAGTTACTATAGCATGAGACTGTCCCTACCAATATCCTGTGTCAGCTCTAGGAGGAGCTGTGGGGGTTTGACGCCCCCTATTGTAACTACGCTTGCTGTCTCAGAATTCTGTGTGTGAGTGAAGTCTTCTACTTGTCTTCATGTTTTCCTGGTGATTCCAATACTGAGATGTAGTGAGTGGAGATACTCAGGTTTCTACCACCAGGAGGTGAGAGGCCACAGATGCCATCTCTATGACTTTAATTCTATGTTTTTGCACTTACATTGAGCTATCATTTACATAGAGTAAGATGCACAATTTTCACTTCAATAAATTCTAAATATTCATTCATCCGTTTAACTGACATCCATCCAAGACAGAGAATCTTTCTGAAAAAATCTCAAAAGACTCCCTCTGTTCCCTTTCAGGCTCTACTTCCCTAAAAGTAACCTCTATTCAGCCTACAACATCTTCACTTGGCTTTGCCTGTTTTTTGAACTTTGTTTCACTGGAATCACACAATATGATTCTGGCATTTTGGTCTTAGATTGTTTTCTGTAAGATTTATTCATATTGTGTATAGCAATTGTACAAAAGATTGCTATTCTGCATGGGCTTCTGGAGCTAGCAGGCTGCACATGCACTAAAGGGCTCTATGTAAGAACAAATCCTCCTCATACTGCATCATATTTGTAAGGTAGTATGAGAACCTTGGATACTCTAGCTTCTCAAGTAAGAATGAATATGTCAATCATTTCCTGGCTCGGAACAGTATCCGTGGTTCTGCAAACTGAGGGCCAACATCTGCACACTGAGGACCAAAGTTCTAGATGCTATTAGAAAAATGGAAATCAAACAAGCCATAAGAACCATCCAGATATGTCCCTTGTTAGCTACAATTCATACTAATTTTTTATAGTAGCACATTTGCACTCTCACCAGTTTAAATGCAGCATTTACTTTACATCCTGTCACTACTTGGTAATGTCAGTCCTTTAAATTCTGGTTTTAATTTGTAGCTATCCAATGATTAATGATGTTAAGTTCATTTTTATGTTTAATGCCCAGTTGAATGTTTTTAAAACTTCTTTACACTTTAGATTCACAGCAAAATTGTGCTTAAAGTCCGGGGCATTGCCATATCCCTCCCACTTCTGCTCCTGCTCAGCCAACCCCATTACCAACACCCTCCACTGTGGTACATTCTTACAGCTAATGAGCCTGCACTGACATATTACTACTGTCCAGAGCCCCAGTTCATATCAAAGTTCACTGTTGGTATTGGACATTCAATGGGTCTGGACAATTATGCAGTGACATGTATTCACCACACACGCCTCACCTATTTATCTGTCTCTTCCCTCTCCCCTCTTGCTAACCACTCATTATTCCTGTTTTTCCTTTCCTTTTCCTTTTGTTTGGAATCAGACAGTATGCAGTCTTTTCCTTGACGTTTTTTCACTTGGCGCTGTGCATCTATTTTTGTAGCTTAATAGCTCATTTCTTTATAGCACTGAATAATTAATATTCCATTATCTGAATATACCATTTATTCTTTCACCTTTATGAAAATAAAAAGAATTCTGAGCTAAGATTTACATTTGGGATTCTAAAACATGTCACTGATAAGGTAAAAAATGTGTGACAATTGTAAAGCATAAAATTATTTGTGATGATATTTAAATGCACACAAATATATGATCAAATCCATTCTGTACAATGCATAAGTACATGGTTAGGGCTGCAAAAGCATCCAGTTTTGGGTCAAGGAAGAGATATAGCTGAAATGAAAAAAAAAATTTAAAAAGGCAAAACCAAACCCACCTGTCAAGGGATTCAGCATACCTCAACCCACAAGGGAGACTCCACTATGGTAAGGTCCAACATATGGGACTGACCCACCTGAGGAAATGTTTTATTCCTCATAAAGCATCCTCAAGGGAATGTACGGAAGGACAAATGTCACCTGAAAACTACCCTAGGCATGCTCTGTTGGCATAATTACAGCCATCTTCCTTTCCTCACCCCCACTTTATGAATGCTGTTCTTATTCTCAAGAAATAGAAACTCGCCCGAGATAAAAACTTACTGGTCTCTCCTTGAGAGAGAAAAGATATGACCATGTCTGTTCCCAAAGAACAGAGACTTGCTGCAAAGTCAGGTGATGCTTGCTATGCCAGTCACAAGGGCTAAGCCCGCCCCTAATGCGCAGCCATGATTCTAGACTATAAAACGTAATGCTCAAGGGGGAGATGTTGTTGCTCTCCCTGTCCTGCCACTCTCCCTCTTTGTGCAGAGCAACTTTTCAGGGGCCTAACAATAAATCTGCTTACGCCCCTGTCCTTGGAATGTGGCAGTCCTGCACCTGTTTTCTTTCATGCCCCAGTTGTTTGCTAACATGCCTGAGCTTCCAGAAAGGCACTGTAAGAAAATAACTTCCCTTCCTTCCTCCCTTATTCTCTGGACAATATGAGTATGGAAGACAATCTCATAAACCACCTCTGCTTTGTCCGAATGGGAGCTGGCAATGGTTTGTCTACAATCAAATAATTGAATATTCTGGAGACTAAGAATTTTAGTTTATGAAAAAAATTTAAAATCTGTTAGCTTTCAAGTTTAGAACGAACATAACTAAATTCTTGCCTTTAGGGTCAGAAGTAGGTATATTCCAGGAGGATATTATTCTTATAAAAAGGCAGTGGTTCAAAGGAGTTAAGTCATTTATGCTTATATGTGCTGCAGTGGCACACTAGTTATGTAACAGTAATATCTGACACTTGCTAGTACTTACAAAGCACCAGGTAGCAATTTAAGACTGCATTGTCCAATTTAGTAGCTACTCCTTATATGCAGCTATAAAGTAATCACATGTGAGGAGTCTAAAACTTCCTAAAAAATAAAACTAAAGAACTATTTGAAATTTATGGCATTTATCATATTTAAGATACTACAGACAGGGGCTGAGGATGTGGCTCAAGCGGTAGCTCACTTGCCTGGCATGTGTGCGGCCTAGGTTCAATCCTCAGCACCACATACAAATAAAGATGTTGTGTCTGGCGAAAACTAATTATTAAAAAATTCTCTCTCTCATTAAAAAAAATAAAAGATACTATAGACGGGGCTGCAGTTGTAGCTCAGTGGTGGAATGCTTACCTAGCATGTGTGAGGCACTGGGTTCAATCCTTAGCACCACATAAAATAAATAAAGGCATTGTGTCCATCTATAACTAAAAATATTAAAAAAAAAAAAAGATACTATAGATGGAGTTGGATGCAGTGGCACAGGCTGGTAATCCCAGTGGCTCAAGGAGGCAAAGGCAGGAGGATGGCGAATTCAAAGCCAGCCTCAGCAACTTATTTAGGCCCTAAGCAACTTAGCAAAACTGACAAATAAAAAATAAAGAGGCCAG